TTTGCAACTGTTGTAAAATTCATTAATATGATTGGTACAATTATACATTTAGATCCAGTAAAGAACTAAGAGCAAGACGCGTTTGTATTTGAAATATTAAAGGCTATCTCTCAAATTAAATAAGACGCGATATGTAAGAACGCGAGATATAAAAATATTTTATTTTTCAGATAAGATAAACAAATATATTTGTTCGAACAAGAGATAACGACTCGAGAATTTAAGAGGTATTTAACATTATAAATAGAAAAATTGTAAAAAGAAATAAAAAAGAAACTTTAAAAATTACAAGAGGTAAAAAGTAAATTTTATTTTTAAGGAATAATCGGAATAATCTTGAAATAATTAATTTGGAAGCTGATCTCTCTGCATGAAGTCAAAATTCAATAGAGAGAGAGAGAGAGAGAGAGGGGGGGGGGAGAGAGAGAGAGGAAAATTTTTCTGAAAGTTATTATCTTATGTCAATGTAACATTTCCGAGAGCGTATAATTGCTTATTTTTAACTATGATGTTTTCATAGCGGGAGCATAAAAACAAAGAAAGGACGCACGACATTTAAACATGCAAAGGAATCAATCTCGTTTGAAAACAAACGTGTTTTGCTTCGATAAATGACAACTTCCATCTTACATATTATACATACACAGAGTAATAATTAGAAAGTTGCTGAAATTACACGGTTATTTTATAATAAATGGGCAAAAAATGAAATGAATTAAACATTACTCTGTAGTAGAGATCCATTTTTCTCATATTTTTTAGCATAAATTGAAAAGAGGATAGATATCAGACTCGTAAAAATAAAGATATAATAAAATAAAAAGGTCAAAAATTTGTATACTCAATGTTTAGAAGATCTCAGCACATCATTTTCATACAAAAGAGCTTTTCAAAGATATAGTTACTTGTACAGTTAAATTAAAGTCTTTTTCAGGAGAAAAATGTAACACCACAAACAATTGAATAAAAAAAAAGAAACAAAGAAGATTGCAAAAATATGATACTCTCTGGGCTTTGAAACCCCCTTGTTCAGTTAAGAGATAAATAATTGAATATTGCAGACGTTCCAACAGTAGTTAATGTACTTATCAAAACTTCTTCTCTCTTTTTCTCCTGAGATAAACTGTGCTTACTTCACGTTGGCAGTCGTGATGGTTGATTCAATCATCAAGTAAATAATTTAACCAAAGATTTGTGAAAGAGGCGGTCATGTTCATTTTTATCAAAGTAGATTAACTTTAATCCCGGTTTTAATTACTTTTTATCTCTTCTTAATTCTTAGAACTAGAAAAAGATAGAAAATAAGTTAAAACGAGATCAAAGTTAATATATTTCGGACATTGTGCTTGGTTTTATCAATGTAGATTAATTTTAAGCACGATCCAACTAATTCTTCATCTTTTTCTCATTTTTATTAAAAGACGAAGAGTAAATTGAATTGAGATTAAAGTTGATCTACACATTGATGAAAATAGTCATAACACAGTTATTAAAAAATATTAGAAAATACATTTAATAGTTTTTAAATCCTTTTTGTATAACATTTATTTTTACAAGTGCACGTACACTGAAAAAAATTCTACTTATTTAGTTATTTATTTGAATAGCGCAATTAAATATTTACTAAATATAAAAATATTTATTTTGTACAAAAACTAAAGAAAATTAATCTGATTTAATAATCATTTTTCTTTATTGAGTAAATGTATTTATTTATTGTAAGTTAAATGTTTAGCCGGTACTACTCAAATAAACATTTATTTAAATTTAGCACATTTTTTCTTCAGTTATATCCAGCATTCAAAAATTAATTCAATTAAATTGAAATTTATTTTAATTTATTTGCGCTTTAGAGTCCCGGAGCTGGATAGAGATGAATTGAAATCTAAAATCATAAATTCGTGTTTGTTCATGAACATGAATAGGGATTGTATAATATTCCTTTTGCACTAATAATGTGCTAATAAAAATGATGAACATTTTGCAGAACAAAATTTAATACAATTTCATTCATTCATTGCAAAGTCATTAAATTTCAGCAACCTTTTCACTGTCATTCAACATAATGCAAAGTAAGACTAATTTATCGATTTATAAGCATAATTTCTGCATATTCATGATTGACAGCAAACAACTGCGCGATGCAACATAAAAAAAATTATGTAAGAGTCTAGTACACTTTTTATTATCCGCTTTAATCGTTTTATCTGTACATAGCAGCTAATTATCAGCGGTAATTCATAAGGTAATTCATAAAATATTTTATATAAAGCTTTATTCGAAATATTATTAAAAGATAAAAAGATAGACTAAATATTTAATATTTATGATAAATATAAATAAATATTTCTATTAAGTATTTTTTATTTGAATTAATAATGTCTTGTTAAGTATTTCCCTAGTATTTACTACAAGGTTTACAATAAATATTTCATAATGTTTATAATAAATATTTATGAGCTATGCAATGTAAGACAAAAATATTTACAAAATATTTAAAATAAGCCTTATAAATATTTTATAAATATTGTGTGCTGTCTGGGAATTTAATTCCGACATCCATTTCACATTAATCTTAGGGCAGAATCCATAGACGGTGCTCAAGATTCTAAATGGCCTTAAGCTAATGCATGGATCAATCAAAGAGCCGTATTAGCATCTTAAGACATTGTTTGAGATTAAGACCGGATTATGGATTCCAGCCTTAATGTCTCATTAAAATTAGATAATGTTTATATGAATGAAAAGCAAAGGAATACACATTCATCGAATACAAATCCGAGAGCCAAAGGTGCGAAATGTAGGCTGAAGGAGTGTTATGGAAGATCAATTTCAGACGTCACGGTTGACCTTTGGATCCAAAAATCAAGAAGAGACGAGTCCATTAGATGAAACGGAAACGTCGAAATCACGAGAGCGATTATCCTTACCCATGTTCGCGAACACTGCAGGACCGTCTAGTAGGCGTCGTCTAATTGTCGAGTTTGACAACACAAGATTGAATGAGACCCAAACTTAGCAGTTGTAACTTTCCGTGTAACGCAGTTGCGGAATCGGCGTGCTACTACATACTAACTTCCTTATTACGTCAATCTCGAAATAAGAGATCAAAGTGTATACGTGTCTAGATTCGTGATTATCACAATGTTCCAGAACAGCGAGACGAAGGAGGTGGAAAAGGCGGTTTTTCTTGGGATGGAACACGAAGAAGTGAAAGAGCGCCGTTACGGGGATAAAGATAACAATATAACTGACAACTGTCGGATTGTGCGCGAATTTATCAGCAATAAATAAAAATCGGCGCGTTTCGTTAGGAGGGGGAAGTACGGCGGTTTACCGCCAGAGGGCGCCACGCGTCAAGAAAGTATTGGACGGCGGAGAATCTCGGCGTCGGCGAAAGTGAAGGGTAAAATTCAAAAGTCTATTCACGGGGTGGAAACGATTCGAGTCTCGGGAAATGGTCGTTTTCGCATTTCCCTGCATGGAGTGTTCCAGGTAACACAGATGTTGTATTACGCGTTACTTTCTCCCGGAAGCCTCTCGCTCGCTTTTACGATTTGTGATAAGTTTTTTTTTTCACGTCGCGTTAAAGAGCGCAGACCTCTGATCTTTTCCGTGCGATAAAGTTATATTAGCCAGCATTTGATCTACTCTCGATGTTAGCTACGTTCGATTTCTCGATGTTTTTATTTTTCAAGAAAGATACTCTTTTGAGGGGACGATCTTTGACCGAATTCCGAATGATTAAGTTAATCGGCACCATTTATTTATATTATAATATGAATAAAACTATTAAATTAATTAATAGAATTTGTTTAATGTATTGAAGAAAAATTAAGAACAATAAGGTGCATATATATTAAAGGTTTTGTCTTTAATGATAATTTCTATTTTATTTGTACGATACTAATAATTGAATTCGTTTAATGGGAAATTACATAATGTAATTTTTTAATTTGAAATACTGAAAATGATCTAATAGAAAAGTCGAAAACGTTTGTTGTTACTGTAAGATACGAATCGATGAAGTTGTTTACGCATAAAATATTTAACGTTGGCTTTTATACTTCTGTGGATCGATTAATTGTGTATTTTGAAATTAGGTGAAATTATAAAAGTGAGAAAATTCGCAAGGTGTTGATAAAATTATAAATATTCTATTGGAAAAATTCTATTGGATTTGCTCACTTTTGTAATTTTCACTTCATTTCAAGATATACAATCGACTCACTGATTCATATTTCCAGACAGCACAGAATAGTTATGATAAATATTTATTAATATTCATTTTTTGAAATGTTATATATATTTTATATAAAGCTTTATTCGAAATATTATTAAAACATAGACTAAATATTTTATGTAGTATTTATGATAAATATAAATAAATAATTCTCTAATAAGTATTTTTTACTTATGATATTTCATTAAGTATGTTCATAGCATTTATTACAACATTCAAATAAATATTTCATAATATTTATAATAAATGTTTATGATCTGTGTAATCTAAGACCATAAAAATATATTTACAAAATATTTAAAATAAATCTTATAAATATAGTATTTATAAATATTTTGTAAATATTTTATAAATATTGCGTGCTGTCTAGGTTATTATTAAAAATGAGAAAAATGACATTTGATGTATTTAAGAGTATTTTTCATCGGTATTATTTAATGAATCAATAATTTTCTGTTATAAGTTAAAAAATAGTTTTTTCCCTTTTCTGAAAAACTTAACTCTTTAAGTTGTGTCACATTTAAAGTCTTCTTTTCATTGTCAGTCATGTTTTGTGACATGGTGACCTCTTCTACACGTGCATCCGCTTTCTAATATACATATGTGACCTACAGTTTTTAACGCTGGATTCGAGGAATCCGGCCTATTAGAAGAGGTTGTCATAGCAAAAATACTGTCGGTGGTTTGTCGTTGCTTTCAGAGAGATCAAATAAAATGTATGTTCTAGATAAATTTAAATTCGGATTTTCGGTACAGAGAGCAGCCACGCAACTTTCTATGCCACTATCGCCACTTTTGAAGTAAGGAAACAATATTATTTATTACATATATTATATATATATAATTTTTTATGTAAATCTACTCTCTAAAACTTTTAGAACGAATCTCACTTAAAAATTAAAAATCTAGCTACTCTTTTTTAAGACTGGCTTAATTTTCATTCTTTAAAGTGAGATTCCAACGAATTTAGAGAGCATGTTAAATTTAGTTACACATTATTATTATAAAAAATTAATTATTAAATTATTACCGACCAGCCAACAGTCACGTGACGCGATGACTTACAATACCATGAAGCGCGCGCTTCAAACGTGCTCTAATTTACAATTCGAGGTGACAAGGGCATTGACAATACCTTGTCGAATATACACGAAAATGATCGCTCCAAAAAGATATAAAGATATAAGGGACGTACCATTGTGATGCGTCGGTTGTACGTTTATTTTTACACAATCGGTTTTCGTGGTATCCATAGAATCGCTCGACATTTCACACAGAAAGATAATTCTTCAATTACTGTTTGATGCACACGTTAGTTTCAAGTAATATATACTGCGAGGTAATTCACGGCCGTGAGAAACAACAGATCTTTAAATAAATTGCGAGACGATTTGTGCGCGCGCGCGCGCACGTGTTGCCGATTCGTTACCGTCACGTTCTGCACTTCGTACTCGAAATCACTGAGTGCTGTGTCGAGGTTGTCGGATTCTAGACTGGATCTTTGATCGTTTAAAACGAGTTCGTGGCTATGCGAAAGGTGATTCGAAGGTGGGAGTGGAACGGAATTTAAAAACAGTCCGAAGCAATACGCGTCCTTAAACTTAACGTGGTAGACCTTGAAATTTATTTTAAAAAATCAAGATTAAATGATGTAATTGAAGCCTGTAGCAAATACTGAGACAAAGTCTGAATGGAAATAAACCGTAGAAATAAATTCGACCTTAGAACTCAGCGCAAATAAGTTTCAACATGTTAGATACATATCATAAGTTACTATCGGAAAATAATAAAGTATGAGACCTTGTTAATTCTGAATAATAAAACAAACTCATGCTGCAATTATAGTTAACCGCCACGTACAGCAAAATGCTCTGTTATTATGCATCTCAACGATCTCTTATTTATATCTAAACTTGTTTTTAGACTATCCTTAAGTAAAGGACAGAGAATTTCTGTGCGTTGTATACTAGTGTTGTAAACTAGCATGTATACTTGAAAACAAAACTTGAGAAAGAAAGAATAAGAACGAGAATCGTTATCTATTATATGCTTTAAGACTATAGCCGGTATTCATAATTCATTCTTATTTCAAGACCATCTTAAATAATGCTTTTTCCAGTAAATGGGAATGGCTTGAAATGAATTAAAATGGACTTAAATTTTCAGAAATACGCGAGAATTCACGAACATTAAAATGAATCCTTTTCAATCCGAATGTATTTTTATTAATTTATAAGAATTGCATGAAGTGCATTTCAATCTAAAAATGATATCAGCTTTTTCTGTGCATCGTGAATATTTCTTAATTCAAAATTCTAAATATATATCATATATGATGCAGTTTTTCAATTCAATCGAATCTAAAAAAGTTTTAAAGTGAAAATGAACCATTTTTTAATACATCCGAATGCTACTAAAGTAAAATTCTAATCTATTTTAGTTTATTCTCATTATTGGATTAAGATACTAATACGTTCTATGACCGGTTCATTTTAAGACCATACTTAAGATGATCTTAGATATAAGAATCGACTATAAACACCGGCTTATGTCACCTCAAGCGTAAGGTAAAAAAAAAGAGAGAGAGAGAGAAGACTCAATTTATGAGCAGCTTCACATGTTGGAAGTCGCGACGATCTCACACACGTCAAGTTTGAAAAGGTCAAATAATGTAATAACCGCCTCTGAATCAATATACCTTTGTATTTTCTCATTGAAGATGTGAGTTCGCGATTTCAAAGTTCGCGTGCTATATTCAGATACTCACGATCAGTAGCAGCTTGGGTATGAATGCGTAATGCGATAATGCGTAGTAATTTCCAATACTAGTAACATGCTTTTAATAGAAAGAGTTTCGTTAAAAATCTATAATAATACACTTTCCTAAGAACTGAATATTGCTCCCTCACAACGTTATTACAACTCCATTTCAGCTTTCGTTACAATTCCCAGAAGAGAGATATTATATAAAACCAAATAATTGTGACAGGGGGGTTACCGTAAAACGAACAAGATAACATTTTAAATTTAACAAAACTTTTTTTTCTTAGCCTAATTAAAATTCAAAGGAATTACTCACATGATTCGGAAATGTCCAGAACAGCTGTTTGCATATCGATGCGACAGATAGCGGATTTTTTTGCGGCATCCATCGAAGTGTCCAGTATTGTATTAGCCTGAAAAGGAAAATATTTGTTACAAATATTAATTTCTCGATGAAGATCATTTTATTTCGAAGATTTATTGAAAATTTATTTGTGAAACGAACGGATCGAGTAAATTTCTCAAGAAGAGAAAAAATTATTTTCCAAGATAATAACTGACTGATACGTCAGCAATCCGTTTTAATCGTTTGACAATTAAGATTTATATAAGTTTGCATATACGTCGGAATACATCACTCTAATCCACTTTATATAAATCTACAATCGTAAAACGTAAAATTTTATACATATCTTAATGATCGCAAAATGCATTTAACATAAATCCTAATTGTTGCAAAACGTATCAATGTATTTCAAATGTATCAACATGAACCAATCCGTTATGATGTCTAGGTTTCATAATTTATCGATGTGTATTTCTTTAAGAAAACAGATCCATATGGAATATACGTAATTACTAATAACTTAATATACTATACTATAATTATGTAAAAGTTGAAATTACTAGTAATTTACATTTCAACTTTTACATAATTATAGCTTTTTTTCCTCTAATGTTAATCCGCTAATTTCTAATGTTGCCCGCTCGGTGCGTGCTCTATTATTTGCTCTAACGATATGGAAAGCGGAAAATCAGGATTTGTGAGACTCCTTATTGCGCGTCATTTCACTTCCTCGTCGAGAGTGCGAGTTACGTGTATGGCTTCGCATACTGGCCTGGATACCTTCACGTGGATATGAATGTGTAACAATCGTCAGAACGATCAACTTTCGATTTCAGAGAAAATTGTTCAAGGCCCAACGACGTTTTCAACGTCTGTGAAATTTCATGATATAGTCTCATGTATGTCGAGATAAAA